GGAAGTGTTGATGACAATTTTATTATCACAGGTTCTCTCTACATTTAAAAGTTCCAGGAACGTCTAAAGTAGTTTATTTTCGCTTGTATTTTTTTTCTCAAGGTGTATCTTGAATGACTATTTAGCTTAGATGTTAGCGAAGGCTTCTAGGAAGTAGTTGGCCATTACATTAACATTTTTTGAATGATATTGCTACCTGAAATTTTCAGGCGATTTTCACTTTGGATATTTCCTAGCGTCAATTATTATTTTTTTTGTGAAATCACCGATGAACCAATTATTAGATTTTTATTAGTAATATTTAAACAAAAATCAGGAATATTTGCGGACAAAAGTTTATGTTGTGGCTTTTCTTGAGGTTATTTTAAGATGATTTCATTTTTTTTAGTGTCTCCGCGGCCCGGTCCTCGACCAGGCCTCCACCCCCAGGAAGCAGCCCATGACAGCTGACTAACTCCCTGGTACCTATTTACTGCTAGGTAACATGAGCATCAGGGTGAAAGTAACTCTGTCCATTGTCTCTCGCCGGCGCCCGGGATCGAAATCAGGACCACAGGATCACGCGTCCAGTGTTCTGTTCACTCAGTCACCGGCTTGGAGAGAATTATATCATATGTTCAGAGGCCGTATTATTTCATAAAAAAAACTATTTTAGCTATGAAGCACGTAACTCGAGAATTTCTCTTATTATAACAAAATGGTATACGAACTCACAGGTACAAAGTATACTATCTCAGTATATCAGGGTATACTAACTCTATATATCAGAGTATACTAATGCTATATATCAGGGTATACTAGGTATGTATCAGGGTATACTAGGTATGCATCAGGGTATACTAACTCTACATATCAGGGTATAATAACTCTATATATCAGGGCATACTAACTCATACGAACGGGTTATATTAATTTTTTAACAAGAGTATGTTAACTCACAGCATGATATACTAACTCATAGCAACAGAATACATTATCTAATAACAGGGTGAATGTGTGTGTGTGTGTGTGTGTGTGTGTGTACTCACCTATACTCACCTATATGTGCTTGCAGGATCGAGCATTGACTCTTGGATCCCGCCTTTCGAGCATCGGTTGTTTACAGCAATGACTCCTTTCCCATTTCCCTATCATACCTGGTTTTAAAATTATGAATAGTATTTGCTTCCACAACCTGTTCCTGAAGTGCATTCCATTTCCCCACTACTCTCACGCTAAAAGAAAACTTCCTTACATCTCTGTGACTCATCTGAGTTTCAAGCTTCCATCCATGTCCTCTCGTTCTGTTACTATTCCGTGTGAACATTTCGTCTATGTCCACTCTGTCAATTCCTCTGAGAATCTTATACGTTCCTATCATGTCCCCCCTCTCCCTTCTTCTTTCTAGTGTCGTAAGGCACAGTTCCCTCAGGCGCTCTTCATACCCCATCCCTCGTAGCTCTGGGACGAGTCTCGTTGCAAACCTCTGAACCTTTTCCAGTTTCATTATATGCTTCTTCAGATGGGGACTCCATGATGAGGCGGCATACTCTAAGACTGGCCTTACGTAGGCAGTGTAAAGCGCCCTAAATGCCTCCTTACTTAGGTTTCTGAATGATGTTCTAACTTTTGCCAGTGTAGAGTACGCTGCTGTCGTTATCCTATTAATATGTGCCTCAGGAGATAGATTAGGTGTTACGTCCACCCCCAGGTCTCTTTCACGCGTCGTTACAGGTAGGCTGTTCCCCTTCATTGTGTACTGTCCCTTTGGTCTCCTATCTCCTAGTCCCATTTCCATAACTTTACATTTGCTCGTGTTGAATTCTAGTAGCCATTTCTCTGACCATCTCTGCAATCTGTTCAGGTCCTCTTGGAGGATCCTGCAATCCTCATCTGTCACAACTCTTCTCATCAACTTTGCATCATCCGCAAACATCGACATGTAGGACTCTACGCCTGTAAACATGTCGTTAACATATACAAGAAATAGAATTGGTCCCAGCACCGATCCTTGTGGTACTCCACTTGTTACTGTTCGCCAGTCCGACTTCTCGCCCCTTACCGTAACTCTTTGGCTCCTTCCTGTTAGGTAGTTCCTTATCCATTCTAGGACCTTTCCCCCCACCCCCGCCTGCCTCTCGAGCTTGAACAGCAGTCTCATGTGCGGTACTGTATCAAAGGCTTTTTGGCAGTCCAGAAATATGCAGTCTGCCCAACCATCTCTGTCCTGTCTTATCCTCGTTATTTTATCATAGAATTCCAGAAGGTTTGTTAGGCACGATTTCCCTGTCCAGAACCCATGTTGATGTTTGTTCACAAACCTAATGTTCTCCAGGTGTGCAACCAGTCGTAGCCTAATTATTCTTTCCAGTATTTTACAGGGGATGCTTGTCAGTGATACAGGTCTGTAGTTAAGTGCCTCCTCCCTATCTCCTTTCTTGAAGATCGGCACGACATTTGCCTTCTTCCAGCAACTGGGCAATTCTCCTGACATAAGTGACTCATTAAAGATCATTGCCAGAGGCACGCTGAGGGCCTGTGCTGCTTCTTTTAGTATCCACGGTGATACTTTGTCTGGTCCAACTGCTTTAGTTGCATCTAGAGTTGTCAACTGTTTCATTACCTCCTCTGCTGTCACCTCTATATCTGATAGTCTTTCATCTAGGGTAACCCCTTCCAACAATGGGAGCTGCTCAGGCTCGGTAGTGAACACTCCATGGAAACTGGCATTCAGTGCCTCGCAGATTTCCTTGTCACTTTCAGTATATGCCCCCTCTGTCTTCCTTAGTCTTGTCACTTGGTCGTTCACCGACATTTTTCTTCTTATATGACTGTGTAGTAACTTAGGTTGTTTTTTCGCTTTGATTGCAATATCGTTCTCATAGTCCCTTTCCGATGTTCGTCTTATGTTAATGTAATCGTTCCTAGCTCTGTTGTATCTGCTTCTGTTGTCCTCTGTTCTTTGTCTTCTGTACTTCCTCCACTCCCGCCTGCTGGCCATTTTTGCTTCCTGACACTGTCTATTAAACCATGGGTTATTATATTCCTTCTTATTTTTTCCCTTTACCGTTGGTATAAATCTCTCTTCGGCCTCCTGGCATTTCTGTATGACTAGGTCCATCATATCTTGGACTGTTTTTCCTCTAATTTCTTCCTCCCACTGCACTTCACCCAGATAGTCCCTTATCCTCATATAGTCCCCTTTCCTGTAGTCAGCTCTCCTTTCCCAGATCTCTTGTCCCATGGTCATAATTTTGAATTCCATCATGTAGTCAAAGACTAGGACACAATGGTCACTGGCCCCTAGAGGTATTTCATGCTCTAAATTCTCGATATCTTCTACGTTCTGGGTGAAAATCAGGTCTAATAGGCTCGGTGCATCTCCTCCTCTTTCCCTTGTGTCTTCCTTCACATGTTGTGTCAGGAAATTCCTGTCTATAACATCTACTAATTTTGCTCCCCACGTTTCATCCCCTCCATGGGGATTCCTTGATTCCCAATTTATCTCTCCATGATTTAGGTCCCCCATGATCAGCAGCTTCGCTCTCATTCTGTGGGCTAGTGTTGCTGCCTTCTGCAGTTCATCTATACATGCTTTGTTGTTGTCATCATACTCCTGCCTGGGTCTTCTACTGTTTGGTGGGGGATTGTAGATTACCATGATCACAATCTTCCTCCCATCTACTGTCAGAGTTCCATGTATGAAGCTTGTGCACTCATTGGTAACTCGATTTCCCAGGTCTTCAAACTTCCATTTCCGCTTTATTAGGAGTGCTACTCCCCCTCCCTGTCTCTGTGTCCTCTCTTTTCGTATCACCTGGTACCCTTCAGGAAAGATTGCATCTGAGATCATGTCATTAATTTTAGTTTCCACAATTGCAACTATGTCAGGATCTGCTTCACTCACTCTTTCTTTTATCTCTTCTGCTTTTATCTCTTCTGTGTGTGTGTGTGTGTGTGTGTGTGTGTGTGTGTGTGTGTGTGTGTGTGTGTGTGTGTGTGTGTGTGTGTCTGTGTGTGTGTGTACGTGTAAAACTTTCCATTAATTTGTTTTGAGAATATTATTAATAAAATACTTAAATTTATTCGAACCGCTCTAAATATTTTGATGATGAAATCTGATGCGCACATCTGCTCACTACTGCTTCAATTAGGCAGTCTGCAATGTAATATCTTTTTTTTTTTCATCTGATGAACTTTTATCAATAAAGCCGGGAAGTAATTTCGTGTATAAATGGTTTCACCAGCACGACATTTTGCGCAATTTTTTTCATTGAATTAACAACGACGAGATGTAAAATATTGATGGTTTCACTGTTCACTTTCGTAATTGTGTTGGAGGAAATTGGAACGGCTAATCTGGAAGACGATTAGTGTAACGATCTCGTTATAATTTTTAGGAAGCTTCATTGACTTCAAAGTGATATATATATATATATATATATATATATATATATATATATATATATATATATATATATATATATATATATATATATATATATATATATATATATCCATCCGTTGTACATTCCTCTACAGCACGGTACATAGTATCCCAAAACGGTACACCCATAACAAGATGGTACACCCATATCAAGATGGTACACCCATATCAAGATGGTACACCCATATCAAGATGGTACACACCAGTTAATGATGGAACATAACACCACTATTACAGTACACACCATCTGTATATAGCACACAGATAAAGTCAGTAGGAGCCATGAGGAAGATTCGAACTTACACATTTGGGTTTGAAGCCAAGCACACGTCTGAAAACACTAGGCCACTATATGCTGCAAAAGTAATGCGATCTGGAATTCAACTGAATCCTCTTGGAGGCCAGAGGCTTCCACTGAAACCACTGATACATGAGGCTAATGTGGTTTCTTTGTACCTGTATAGCACGCAGAGCTCCAAGACACCTGGTATCACCCCTAGAACGTACGCCATACCCATAGACGGTACATTACATTCATCATTCAACATATGGTTTTGGGATTGAAAAGATTAAGTTACATTTCTGATGTTTATTGCATGATGCGTTGATAGCACTAGGGAGCTTCCTGGGTTCTCAGTGGCAAGAATGTATCTCAAACTCATCCAATATATATTATGTTTAATAACCAAAGGGACTAAAATAAATGTGTGTTCAAGAACCATTACTAATATTACTTTTCTGAAACGTCTCGGACCATGTTGCTCTGATGTTTCATTCATGATGATGAATATATATATATATGATATATATATATATATATATATATATATATATATATATATATATATATATATATATATATATATGTATATATATAAATGGGATAAACTGCGTTACTTAGCCATCAGGAAGTATAAATATACTCTTCTAGAGAATAATATAATATAATGTCATAAGAAGGATTTGGATTAAAATATTTAGAACTTACGAAGGGACATGTATTGAGTGGAAACGGACAGCGAAGGGAGACTCCTCCAATATGTAAACACAAGACACCATTCACGCTAGACTCACCTTACCAACTTTGACATACAGTTGAATATAAATTTTCGGGCAATATTTATGACTTAATAATACTCTCAACATCCTTATATAGCACATACAGAGTGAATGAAACCTTAACACATCTGTTATCTTCTATTGAACATCTTCAAACCAGCTTTGAAAACAGATCACATAATTATGGGCAATGAAACATATGCTTTGAATGCTAACTGCAATTCAAAGACAATATAATTTTTCTTCACTTATTTTTTCCCTTGAAAAAAAAGTGGGTTTAAATAGCTCCAAGTAGCTCTTTCTTCTTGGCAAAGAGTCCTTTCATAGTTCCGAAGACCTTCTCTACCTCCTCAAGGTTGGGCTCTTCCTTAGCAGTGACTTCGCTCATCTTCACCGTCAGGTCATCAGTAGTGACTTTCAAGTCTTCCCAAGTCTTTACGAGAGTTTGGATCTGAGGGAGTAACAAGTAGTGAATTTGATTAAGAAGACAGAAGAGTTATTCCAAGATGGGGATTGTGCACTTGTAAATTGCATTGTTTACAAAATACAGCTGTATTATACATTTACGAGTAATAGAATACTTACAAATTTTATTGTCATTGTAACGTATAACAGCTCAATACTCATCAACACATTGTACTGAATAATTTTTATTTTATTTTGCAAGCAATCTGAGGCTTTAATTTTTTTCGATTAGACTGAAAATGTTTATCATAATGATAAACATTCGACTATGTATTTATGAAATGTCAATTTTGTTATCTTGCATTCTTTATCTTATTTTATCTTTGTACTTCCATTCCCTTTCTTTCACTGAACTCATTGTTCTTACCATCACCCTACTTCCTTCTTTTTCCATCTCCTAGCTTCATGCTCTCTTTCTTTTCTACTCACCTTCTCTACTCGCTCCTCGATGGTCTTCTTGGCGGAGGTCCAACGGGTGGCCAGGGGCTCGACCTCGTTCTCGGTGCTGCTAGCCTTCTCCATGTTCTCTCGGGCCTTGCCAGCAGCATCCAGCTTCTCCTTCTCCTGGGCGAAAAGACCGTCGAACTCCTGCGAGGAGAGAGCATAGATAAGTTATCTCATCTTGGCAGCATCTTGTATTAGAAAACTCCGTGCAAGTCTATACCTATAAGGTAAGGTAATTATCAGGAATGATCTCTAATATGAGTATATTGCGCTTGGAAGGAAAATATGTTGAGTTGAGATATAACAGAGTGAGGATACAGTACCTAACCATATGCAGAAGAGGAGTCACAATAACGTGGCTGAAGTATGTTGATCAGACCACACACTAGAAGGTGAAGGGACGACGACGTTTCGGTCCGTCCTGGACCATTCTGAAGTCGATTTTGAATCAACTTGAGAATGGTCCAGGACGGACCGTAACGTCCTCGTCCCTTCACTTTCTAGTGTGTGGTTAGATCAACAGTACCAAACCATGTGAATCATCCTGGATCGAACTCCCACTTGCAAGAAGCCAGGCTGTCGCTGTACCGACCAGACCAAGTGAATGCATATAATACATATAACACATTTAAGTAAACACAAAATAAAAGAGAATATATATACTAAATTTGACGGAGAGTAAACGGAAGACTCACCTTGATGTTATCCAGCAACGCGAGGGCATCCTCCAAGGAAGTGGGTTTGGGAAGAGGCTCCTTCAGCTTGGCCTCAGAAGACTCGAGCCAGGGCTTGAACTCCTTCACGCCGCAGAGGTAGTCGGCGTAGAACCGCTGGTCCTGTGAGATGGAACCAGCCTCCTTCTCTACCTCTTCGCACACCTCTGTGACGAACTGCCTGGTATCATTCCAGTCGGCGAGGGTCTTCTTGGCTGTCTCAGATTTCTCGAGATCTTCCTCTGTTGAGCATTGACGACATGGATTAGATCCCATTCCGCTGAAGAGGATGCGAGGGAAAATGTGGAATATGTGGGATTGGTTGTGATAACCGGTTCGTTGCAGAGATATGGCGCACAGATAACTGATTTATATGTGTCTATATGTGGTATATAGACCGTGAACGGCTCTGATAATCACACACACACACAAACACACACACACACACACACACACACACACACACACACACACACACACACACACACACACACACACACACACAAACACACAAACACACACATTATATATGTAAATGTAGTTTTTATAAATCACCGTAATTTATTTCGTTATTTTTTTTCAAAACAACTTGAATAGAAGTTCAATTGATATATTAATGTTACTGTTAGAAAACATAACTTTGCCATAAATAATATAACATAAGATAAGAGCATCATAAAGTAAAAGAAATTAATGCAGCGTGTTATTATGCAGACGCAGAAGAATTAAACGAAAATTCGTAGTGTTAAAACAAATGATCATAATTAGCAATACAAATACGAAATCAGGAAATAATAAGAAACTTTCATCCGCGGTAAAGAAAGTAATAATGCAGAGTTTGCGAGAAGCCGAAAAAAAGCAAGTTTCTTGTGTAGTCATATACGAAATAGAACTTAAGAGCCGAGTTAGGATGCGCTATGCCACTGACAGAGTAGAGATGCAGCCTCTCTCATCTTTCAACTTACTTCCTGAGCTCGGCATCGGAGGCTGAGGGATGCTGTTGTTGTGGTGAGACTGACACAGATTCAACAGACTACCGGGAAGGGTCAGGTCAGGTCATTTCGCAGGGAGGAACAAGGGGTGAAGGGTATTGTTCTTCTGCTAAATTTTTTGTCAGGTGGGAAGAAAGAAGGTAACCTTTTTTCAATTATAATTCCAAACAATATATATGTCATGATTAATACGCCTGAACTAAGAGGCAAGGAATTTATCTGTCAAATCTAAAAATTGTATCAGCAATAACTACTTTATAATTAGGCGAATAATACGATTATTTGAAGATTAAATATGAGAGAATAATGAAAAATAGAACATATGAATCTGCCAAACATTGGCATCTCCCCCCAAGCTATACAAAAACTATAATGATGACCATAAATAACTCATCTAATCTAGGTGATTTAAATTAACAATTGCAATGCAACAGTACCAAAACTGCTACCTATTTTCCAGCTTTGTTACTTTGGTTGTTCATACCTGTCAACAGAGACTTGTAGGTGGTGTTGAGTGGCTCGATCTGGGGCAGCCTCTCCTGAGCTTGCTCCTGGAGAATGAGGATCTCCTTGACGCGGTCCTCGGGGCTCATCTCAGGATCAGTGGTGATCTCCTTCAGCTTGGAGTTGGTAGGGACAGCCCAGTCGTTAAGCTGCTTGGCCTGGTTCACGGCCTTGGTCAAGGCATCGTTGTATTCAACGAGTTTGTTCAGCTTAGCGTTGCACTTCTCGATGACGGATCTCTTCTCCTCGACTTCTGCAACCTTCAAGCGAGAAAGAGTGAGGAAAAAAACGATATAATGTGTAGTTAAATTCCTCGGTTTATTACCATGATATCAATGTTATTTCCATGTCATAGCAACATTAACGTTATGATATATTCAAGTACATATCTACAATACACCTAAATCACATCTAAATTATATATATATAGAATATGGAAATATCCATTACAATAGCATATGCATTTGAAACTCAAAAAACTTTAAGCTTCTATGGGGGAAAGAGAGATCTATCGCACCTCCTTGTCGAGGAAATCTTTCTTGTCGTCACCAGCCAAGACGATGATGGTGTTGTAGCATTTCTTAATGTTCTCCATCATGTCGTCGGCGATCTTCTTCTGTTCCTCCCATGTGGTCCGCTTCTGCGCCAGCTTGCGGGCCCCCATCACGGGGTCGAAGAACTTCCTGTAGCGTTTCAGCTCGGCCTCCAGCTTCTCTATTGGGTCGTTGATGGCATTTCGGAGTTCATCGTACTTCTCCCAGTCCTTGGCAGAGTCTGTAAAAGGAGTATATGTTAAAGATGTTTACTGATGCTCTTTGGTTGCTCTCTCTCTTACTCTCACTTTTTTTCTCCTTTTTTCTTTTTAACTTAGGCTAGAGTTCATTAGAAATTTTACTTATGTTCTTAGTGAATCTGGAAGCTAAGGAACAGGTTGAATTGGAGGAGCCAATTGTGCCATATATTCATACGGTAAGCTTACTTGAGTTCTCTCTCTCTCTCTCTCTCTCTCTCTCTCTCTCTCTCTCTCTCTCTCTCTCTCTCTCTCTCTCTCTCTCTCTCTCTCTCTGGCAGTCCTATGGCTTCTCGTTCTCCTGATTCTAGCGCTGAATACTGCTTTGTGGTGTGATTGTGTTTGTTGGTGTTACCAACAAACTATTAAAAAAAGTGTTGTTAGCAGTCTAAGGGTTAATCCTTATCTTTCTGCATTTCATGTCTTTCTTTGCAGCCTCACATATTCATGCCTTCGTCCTTTTTTCATATTTAAATCATAACAATCATAAAATTTTCAAAATAATAAAAAAAACTAATTATGATTTTTATCTCCAATAACCAAACAATAATTATACAAAACACACAACTTTGTTTTTAACAACGAATACTCATTACAATACAAAATTTAGCACAGTGTTAAATGAGCATCACAAAATACACAACGACCTTGACCTAGAATGCAGGTGATTACAGGAAACCAAAGAAAAAGATCCATTCTCATCTTACTAACACGTTCATACGAGGGTAGGGGGGGGGGGGTTAAAAGTGTTTTTCCAGAGATTCCATAGTGCAAGTCCATCCCTTACAATGTTACCAGAAGCTTACTACAGACCCACGATAAAATAACCAACTAATGCAACACAACCAAGAGGTGAGTATCAATGCCACCCTTTCATCAACAGAGTGCAAATGCTCACACCACCATCATCAGGGTACAAAGGGCAACATCACCATCAGCAGAGTACACATGAGTCCACTGGGGTAGTAGAGTACTCACTAACAAGCATGCTGTGTCTCTCCTTGGAGAGTTCGTTGGCCTTGTTCCAGGTGTTTTCCATTTTGTCAATAAGGTCATTGAGGAACGGAGCGCAGTTAGGGTTCTGCAGGAGCTTCCTGCCTCGCTTGAGCAGCTCCTCGTAGGTGTCCTTCTGACCGTCGATTGTGTTGATGACCTGAAGGGAAAATGAAGGAAGCGTTAACACTCAGTGATAGTGATTGATGTTATCTGATGGCCTGTAACGCGTGGAGTCAGGACCTCGTTGTTTAGGATTTTGAGAAATAGTTAGTTGTTGATTTAGGATATGGGGATATCAGTTATTTGTTGATGTACGAGATTTGAGAATCAAGACCTAATTAAAAACTCCAAGTCATGATTTTCTCCCAATAAAAAAAACTTTTATTTTTTTTACAGAATCTAAGGAGGATGGGAATTGTGGTCAGATAATACGCTGAGATATTTTGCATTTTGATTCTGATTTATTACAACTTGTAGATAAATCACAGCACTAGACATTCCTCTATTTATTATATCCTCCGGGTCTTCTAACAATACAATTAATCTTTTAAGTTTCATTATTTTCATGATGATTTATGGACAAAACCAGAACTAACTAAATTATGAAACATGGTATTTATATATTCTAACTTTCACTTTACCACATTGTTCTAGATTCTAGCTAAGTTAAATTATTTTTTATTTTAAACCATCTTCTCCCGCAGTCGTACATTTTTTCGTATTGTGTATAACAAATTATGTGCAAATTGTGTACAAATTATTGTACAAATTATTATATACTATTTCGGGTGCTGGATAATCAGGCTATGCCCGTCCAAACTGTATTTGACCTCATGATTAAATTTTTTGAGTAATGAACATTCAAAATTAGTTTTTTCTTATAAACATATATGAGTATTATTGCAAATTAATGTTTTGGGTATAGATTGGTCTCCGGTAGGTGAGATTAGTTGATTCTTTTCTGCTGGTAATTATTTTAAAGATTCGCAGACTTCACTCGTTTGATCTGAGGTCGGCCCCACTGACAGTGATAAATTTCCCCCGACTATGTAAAGAAAACAGTATTTTACATAATACAAATATGTATTATTATATCTCATAATTTAGTGTGCGGTTACGCCTAGTGTAGATTAGGTTAGATATTATTGATATCTATTTCTAGTTGTGCAAATCATATTAATTTATTAATAGTGAGACGGTCGTTTTCGACTCAGAATCAGGAATTCCAGGTTCGAATCCCTTGCGGAACAGAAATGGTTGGGCGCGTTTCCTAGTCATGCTCCTATTCACTGAACAGTAAATAGCTACCCTGAAATCGGATGCATCTTAGGGATAATCAGTAATTCAACCTTGGGGGGGAGGACTTGATATAAGCCTAACATGAATATATACACTGGCTGGCTGTCCCACGACACAATGAATGATTAATATTAAGTGTTTTGATAGATGTAATTGAGATTTACGAATATTTGGGGAATAATATAAGAATCAAATCACTTATTTTCAATGTCACTGTTATCTCAAGCACTCAATTCCGCATCTTAAAACCTCAACGACGTTTAAGATCTTAGAACGGGTAAGGAAAAATGTAGATTTTAAATGGAGCATTAAATAACATATTGACATATCACAGTCTCCTAATATCGTGAATGAAACGAAAGTTATGTAAAATGAATTAGATATAACGAACCTCCGCAAGAAATCGTTCAACGAACCTTCTCAACCTTCTCGATCTGCTCGTCAACCATATTCATGTTGTGGGGGTGAATCTCCTTGCAGGACAAGTGGCGCATCTCCTCCAAGGTCTTAAGGCAGGGACTGATGTCGTCACCGTAAGCATAACAGCGGGCATACACGTCGACCTTCGCCTGAGTCTCCTGAGTCGAGGGCATCAGCTTGTCGTGTCGGTCGATGAGAGCCTGCAGCTTCTTCTTCTCAATGGCCTTGAACTCCTTGTCCTTGGAGCTCACAGTCGTCTCGTCTGCGGAGACCCGCATGGCTACCTTCTCCAGCATCATGTCGAGCCATTCCTTCATGCCCTCCTTCTCCAAGTCACGGCACAGGGACTGCCAGAGGGAAGAGAAAAATAAGATAATTCCGGGTTATATGTTGTTATACGTTATGTATATGCGTAAACAAAAGGTTAATGCAGTGTCAAAATAGATATGAACGCCGTATGTTGCTTGGTTAAGTGGTAATTGATGTTTCGGGAATGATTAATCAAGCACAGAAAATGATTGTAGTGCTTCTACAATACTAACTAACATACATCCTCGTCGGTCTTACATAGACAGGGTTAGAAAACTGTTCTCTAACTCCGTTAAAGAACAGTTCTTTATTTTTAGCATAAATGAAAACGAGTCTTACCATATGAAAACCGCAAAATGTTTAGCTCGTCTTCACCATCGGTTGTCAGTCAAAATACAATTTCAACGAATAAAAAATTCGTGTAAATAAATATGCCATTAAAAATGTCCAGGTCTTTCCTCACTATCACGACGTATTTTCACCTCCTACCGCATTTTCTAAACCAGTCCTGTACAACCCGACTCTATTACATGCCTTCTCTCCTTACCTTCCCTACATCCAATGACCTGTCTCCCTCATCCCTCATCTTCAAGACCACTCCTTTTTTCACGACTTTTCCCCAGATCTTTTCCCCTTCACTACCATGACAAAAATTTCCCCTCACAAATGACAAAAATTTCTTCTCCAAGTTTTCCCCCCATCTCCCTCACCTTCAAGATAATGTTGTTGTTGTTTGAGATTCGCTACTTGGAATAAAAAGTCCCAAGTAGCTATGGTGAGTTATGGTGAGCCCGTAGTTCCACGGGCTATGGTGAGCCCGTAGTTCCACGGGCTATGGTGAGCCCGTAGTTCCACGGGCTATGGTGAGCCCGTAGTTCCACGGGCTATGGTGAGCCCGTAGTTCCACGGGCTATGGTGAGCCCGTAGTTCCACGGGCTATGGTGAGCCCGTAGTTCCACGGGCTATGGTGAGCCCGTAGTTCCACGGGCTATGGTGAGTCCGTAGTGGACTTGCCTGGCACAGGAGAGGGGCTCTCGCTTCAAGATAAGCATTCTCACCTCTAATACGAGTCTGCCACTCACTCACAAGTCCAGTCATCCCCTCCCCTCCCCTCACCTTAAAAAGACAACAACAAAAGTGAATTGGAATAGTTTTAATCAAGTGTCGCTTGTTCCTATCGCCGCAAGAAACAAGTCGATTGTTGTTTTATTTTTATTGTATTATTTATAAGGTTTTTAGAGTTATTTTTCGTTTTTGAATGTGATTGGAGGGTTTGAGAATCTCAGCCGACAATGTTGTGATGTGTTGTGCGTGTGTGTGTGTACTCACCTAGTTGTACTCACCTAGTTGTGTTTGCGGGGGTTGAGCTCTGGCTCTTTGGTCCCGCCTCTCAACCGTCAATCAACAGGTGTACAGGTTCCTGAGCCTATCGGGCTCTATCATATCTACACTTGAAACTGTGTATGGAGTCAGCCTCCACCACATCACTGCCTAATGCATTCCATTTGTCAACCACTCTGACTCTAAAAAAGTTCTTTCTAATATCCCTGTGGCTCATTTGGGCACTCAGTTTCCACCTGTGTGTGTGTGTGTGCCCAACCACTTGGCCTTGACGATAGAGCGACGGTCTCGCTTTCATTCTGGTCGGCGTTCAATCCCCGACCGTCCAAGTGATTGGGCACTATTTCTCCCTCCCTTCCTATCCCAAATCCTTATCCTGACCCCTCCTAAATGCTATATAGTCGTAATGGATTGGTGCTTTCCCCCTGTTAATTCCATCCCATTTGATTGTGTGTTCACAGTATCTGGATTCTCAATAACTATATTTAGTTCCTCAAATAAAATATGTTGTTGACTATTTATGATTTAATTTTATTTCTAAAAATTATTCCATTGCTAGACTCCTTGAGTGGGTCGTGGAGTTTATATTTATATAAGAAAGAATGTGTGTCTGTCTGTTTGTCTAAAGTTAGACGCCAGACGCATGTAAGGGGAATGATCACCCCCACGTGATTTTCATTAAGTAATTTAAATCTGGGTTGTGGTGTCCGTAGAGTGTTGGCGTTACTCCAACAATTAACCCCCCCAAAAATCACCCGAGTATTTTATGATTTAATTTATATATAAATGGAAAAGTCAAGCTGTTCGTGGTTGGAGGGGATGGGTAAGGAGATAGGGGGTGAAGGGAAAAGGGGAGATGGGAAAGGGGGAGGAGGAGGAGGAGTGAAAATGTGAGAAGTTGGGGTCGACGTGGGGAGAGATAAATTATCTCGGGCCCCGCCAGGTATCCCTCCTAGTTTATATATATATACATATACATACATATATATATATATATATATATATATATATATATATTATATATATATATATATATATATATTAATATATATATATATATATATATATATATATATATATATATATATATATATATATATATATATATATATATATATATATATATTACAGTGATTCACTATACTGTGATATAGAGCACAGTGACATTGAGATCCACCGACGTAGTGGAACAGTGATACAGTGACGTAGTGAATGTGATATATTGATCCAGAAATAGTGATAACGTGACATTGACTCAGTGATATAGCGATACATTGACACAATAATTCAGTGACAAAGTGACAGTGATATATTGCCAGTAACAGTGATACAGCAACTGATATTTTGCCAGGAATACAATGCTATAGTGATACAGTGAAACACATCCTGGCTATGTGTAACTACTGTAGGCAGTAGTTACATATAATAGAGCAAACAATTCATGGTATTTAAATACCATGAATTTAAATACCATGTCAATTCATGGTATTTAAATACCATGAATTGACGTCACAACCTCCTCACTAAAATAAATATCAAATGCTGAATTTTGTTTTTCGGTTTATTAAAAGTTGTTAATAAAATTAGTGCCGATATTTCTACGGTTAAAAAACATTTTGCATTAAATTCAGGGCATTGTAGACAGTGGAATCACTGTCAGTGAAAAAAACGATAATTATGGTAATCTATGTGATTGAAACTCACTAAATGGGAGGGAACAGGACAACTATAATAAGTGGGCCCTGGACTTGATGATGACTCCGGACTTGTTGAGGGTCTAGGACTTCATAAATGTTCAGGACATAATAAGGCTCGTGGACGTGAATGATGAATAAAGGATTAATGAAATGAAATTTATGCAATTATAGTGATACTGTGTGTGTGTGTGTGTGTGTGTGTGTGTGTGTGTGTGTGTGTGTGTGTGTGTGTGTGTGTGTGTGTGTGTGTATATGTGTGTGTTCGCGCGCGCGCGCGCACGTGTGTCTACATATACTTACTTTACACCCAAGTGCATGCATATTGTCACACACACACACACCGCTAAGACGAGCAGAACCACAAGCAAGAATAATTACACAGAGGAGTTGTGGCAAATTGCAATAATTACAACTTTTAATAACGACCCAAACTAGCATGCTAATTACCGTGCACTATCGAATTAACTTCTCCATGATAAATGAAGCTTTAATTAATGACTGCAATGGCCGCTAACAACCCAACTGACCTTGTAACACCTATGAGTGGGGAACTGCCTGGCTGAATGGTAATGATTTAATGATTTTATTACAGAGCAAAATAGGACACAGGCACTTTATACGAAAGATGGGGTGGACATGGGGTGGATAGGTGTGGATATGGGGTGGATAGAGGGTGTGGACATGGGGTGGATAAAGGGTTGGTAAAGGAGGGTAGAGAAGGGACTGGATATAATCTAAATGACAAATTATATCAGGGATAAATGGTTTTGGAACTTTCAGGGTCTGAAGATGGGGGGAAAAAATAGCAAAGGTGGTTCTTAAAGTCTGCAAAGGTGCTACGCTATGGTAAGCAGATATGAACCATTCTCCCCAACGGCGTAAGGCCTTCTCTCACACTCTACGCTTTTTGCTGAAGACCTACTTGTTATTTTATCAATTTTATTTTTCCAAGAGAAGAATGGAACGTTACGAGAAGATTTACAATCGAGGAAGGTGAAATGGGATTGAATTTCCAGTCGAGGGAGACGCATATTAGAACATTTTCCTGTGGAGGACAGTTCATTACAGAGCAGTTTCATGAGCGAAAGTTGCGTATGGAGGATTTCTATTGCAAGAAGATGCATTATTGAAAATATCTGGGGGAAGAATTTGCGTTGTGGAACATTTCCAGGGGGTAAGACTGCCTCCACAGCGACGGTAGAGGCACCAATGAGCAATTAGAAATGAAATAATTTACACAAAGGAGAATTTTTAGATAAAGCAATTGTGCTAATGAGCAACTGAGGAAAAAGAAAAGGACACAGAGGATCATTTTTAAAAGGAGGCAATGAGACACTCTCAAGAAATTCAAATGCAGGAAATTTGTTAAAAGAAGATGAATAGTTTCTGGATTTTTGACACCTGAAAATGACACATTTTCCGCCTCACTTTCCATCGTCACTCAAAAGGGTATCTCTCATTCCGTTCGTTTTTAACATGTTAACAAGAAAAAGACAATAATAGGAAAAAACGAAGATAAAAGTTACATAAAAAAGCATTAAAGAGAGCCAAGAAACCGAAAAGGAAAGGTGAACAGCTAATATAATTATCAGGATAAAGCGATAAAGAATATATGGCTACGCCATACATTGAAGGGGGGGTATACGTGAAGATTAGGAGCCGGGATATGAGTCCGGAGTGAACGGAACCAATCTTTATATTTTTTTCCTTTAGAACCTTTTTCCCAATCACTTGAGCATTCTGGGATCGAACACCGTCCCTGCAGGAAACGAGGTTGTCGCTCTACCTACGAGTCCAAATGGTCGAAAGCAGACTATACTGAGAGGCCTCTTGGTCAGAAATCAATCACACCATTTAAGAGAATCTTCACCTCCTTCCTGGGCGTCTCAGTATTGCCTTTCACCGGAATAGCATCTCTCCCGCGGACCCGGCGAGGCGGAGAAACCTGAGCAGCATCACCAGATCACAGTGAGAGGAAGTCGCATCAAGCATTCCAAAGA